TGGGAATTGCTGATTCCCTACTCAACACAGTGTTTTCAAAGTACACCAGGGGCAGGAACTATGCAACCATATTTGGACCAGTCCATCAGATGACTATCTTGTCATGACAGAAAAAGGGAGAAAGGAGGAAAATTAAGGCCATCACAGAAACAGTGATGGCTTTTGTTGACCTTTGGTTGTTCCCCGGATAGCGCTCAGATTCCTTAACTTGACATCCTTCACAGTTCATCCCCTTCCACTTCACCTCTTTGTTCAAATGCCTCCAAAGCTCCAGCCACCATTCTGTGAACATACCAAGTCCTTCCATGACTCTGAACTTCTGGACATATAAGTTATACTACCCACTTCTCCACCTGAAAAATCCCACCCATACTCCAGATTGGCTCAAATTCCACCTCTATCAAACATTTGCTGCCCACCCCTCACCCTCAGACTATTATTTATTTCATTCCCCATCCTCCCACACAGTCATTCTGCATAGCGCATGTATGGTAGTTAGTTATCTGTCAACAAGACCTACTTTTCTACCATGCAGCACTCCCTTGAGGCAGGGGACTATGTTTTATTCTTCTTTGTACCCACAGCCCCTGGCACAGTTCCTGGCACATGATAAAGACTCACTAAACACATATGATTAATAAATGGATGGATGCACAAATGTACATTTAATTCATTCAGCAATTCTTTACTCAGCTCCTGTCATGTTCCAGGCACTGCTGGGGTACTAGGAATACAAAATGGCAAAGGAAGCAGATACCATCCCTTCTGGAGCTTGGAGTCTGGATACAGAGACAGAAAAAGTGTAAACTAGCAAATATAATAATTTTAAATTGTAATATGTACTATGAAGGAAATAAGCAGGATTCTGAAATAGAGAAAAATAGAGTGAATTGACTTTTGATACAGTGGTCAGGGATGATCTTCCTGAGAAGTAAATGTCAGCTGAGAGCTGAAGGATGTGAAAGAATTAGCTAGAGAATGTACCAGAGAAAGGGAACAATATGTGGAAAGGTCCTGAGGCAGGAAAGAGTTTGGAGTGCTTAAAGAACTGAAAGAAGGTGAGGCTGACAGGGGCACGGTGATCAAGAGGGAGACTGGTAGGAAATGAGGTCTGAGGTAGGCAGGAGCCAAATCAGGAGGAGCTTGGCACTTAGGTCTGAATGCAGCATGAAACCAGCTCATATTTTGTAAGAAGAGATTGGAAGGGCAGGAATAAGTGAGAGCAGATTCTTTAGAAGACAGTTACTGTACTGCAGGTGAGAGAAGGAGAGATGGAGGCTTAGACCAAGCTAGAGGCAGTGCATGTTGGAGACATCCAGACAGACTGGAGAGATGTTTTTGAAGAGGAATCAACAGAATTTAACTGTCTGTGGGAAATGAAGGAGAGGAAGGAGTCAAGGATGACTCTGAGGTTTCTGACTTGAGTAACAGATGGTGTCATTTACTTAAAAGGAGAGGCTTAAGTACAGAAAGGTTCAGGAGGTGCGATGAGGATGAGAATAAAGAATTCTGTTTTGAAATTTATGCTTAAAGTAAATCCAAGTAGCAATGTCAGATGGTCAGTTGGATATGTAAGTGTGGAGCTCAGAGGAGAGGACTGAAAGTTATCAATAGATGGTGTTCAAAGCCACAGAAGAGAGTGTAGATCAAGAGAAGGGTTCCAGAATCAAGCCCTGAGGAATACACCAGTGATCTCAGGTAAGGTTGAAAAAGATCAATTAATATATAAAACAGATTTGGGGATGGTGGAAAAGGAGAGAGAGAGAGAGCGATTGTGAAGCCATCTTATTGGGTCAGCCAAGGGAATGCAGGCCTACACTAGAGTAACTGAGAGTTGAGCCTTCTTTTCTACCCATCATACTCTTTTCCCATAGTAGTCTCATTCCATCTCATAATGTCCACCATTTCCTCCAGGTTTATATTTCAGTCTTAATATGTCTACCTGCTTGCTGAACTCCTCATTCTGAGTGTCCCACAAGACCTCTAACTAAAAGATGCAAATCCAGCTGATTTCTTCCATCCTCCCATACTGCTTTTCTTATCCTCCTTTCTCCCATTGATGGTACTGTGAGCCTTTCAGCTATCCAGGGATGAAGAGGTGAATCATTCACTAAGTCTTCTTCCCTTTTATTTTCCTTAATAGGTAAATTACCAAATCCTGTTGAGTACACATCTGTAATATTATTTAATCATTGTTGGTATGTTGCCTTTTGTAAAATAGTCATTTTTTTTAAAGTATCCCCTACTGTAATAAAAACCAAACTCGTTGCTGTGTAGTCAGTTGCGACTCATGGTGACCCCATTTGTTACAGAGTAGAACTGCTCAATAGAGTTTCTTGACTGTAATCTTTACAGAAGCATATTTCCAGGTCTTTCTTCCATGATGCCGCTGGGTGGATTTGAATCACCAAACTTTAGGTTAGTAGACGAGTGCAAACTGTTTGTGCTAGCCAGATATTCAGTGTTACTGTTTTTAAACAGCTATATTTTCTTCACATCTTTCTCCTTAAAATTTGTCTTTGGACTAGAATATAGTATGAGAAAAAGTTAAGACAGTCTGCAGAGAAATTTAGACTGGCAGAGCCATTCAACCTTAGCAGAAGGAACTACTTTAGTTCTATTTTTATCATCAATTTAGAAATGAATCACTGAAAGCAGAGATAGAAATAGAGATGGATAGGAAAGAGCTGGGCCATCCAATTCATCTCCTCGTTAACATAGAGCAGTTTGCTATGCCAAATGCCTGTGAGATACTATGCAATAAAAGTCTTAGATTACACCATTTCAGTCATTTTCATAAGATGACTAATTATCCTTCCAGTTGCCCTCAGCATTGTTCTTTGAACTCCTTTCTGTGTATCTCTGTCATATGAGAAGTGTTTCCTCTGTACACAGAAATGACTGAGGATACAAAGGGATGAACTCAGCTTATTTTTCCACAGTGGTGATGATTTTAACATTAAATTGGCCTCCTTCTTTATGATCCTTTTTGGATCAGTGACACACATTTGTGAGATTATTTCCCAGAATATGTAGTGGTTTCCTTAGAATGCTTAAAAGCTAAGGGAACACCTAGGGATCAAACCAGCCCATTGGGACTGTTAGCACAGATGCGTGATTCTAGTGTGGCTTCAAATGGAATGATTAGTGGCGAAGACTTCCCATTATGCCCTGTTGCACCTATTGCTTGAGGGAGGCAAGGGTAGGGGCATTTGGGAGGAGTATTGTTTATACGTTCTTTGACTATCGTCTAATATCTCTCAGTTTTCTCATATTTATCACATAAGAATGTTGTATGATCTTTTAAAAGATATATTCTAAAATGTTTTTTCTAATGATTGACCCTCAATATTCAGGTTTACTTTTAAAAATATTAATATTCTTAAATCCATGGTTGTTAGTCCTCTAAGTTCCATGATGTTTGCAAACCTCTTGGCTGGGACTCTTCTACATATGCCATTAACATGCTGCAACCCTCCTCTTCCAGATCATTAATAAAGATGCTAAATAACGCTAGATCTAACACCCTCCCCCCAACAAACTCAGTATGCTCCATGTGACATTATCTTTTATTTATAGTGTTTGACATAATTCTTAATCCAGTCGAGTCTATTCTTGTTCAAACTAACTAGTTTGAGGAAAAAAGTTCACATGCACCATTATATAGATTGCAGTTTTGAACTGATATCTAAAGCTTTGATTATAAGAATATAGTGCTTTTAATGCTTCTTAAAGTTCTTCCTTACTGGTTCATAACTAGCTGCTTGTGGAAAGCAACAACTTATGAACTCTAAAATGATGTGCAACTCTACTTTTCATAAGCTACTCATTTCCTTTACAGAGCTCTAATTTGCCCCCTTAAACAGCTGTCACTTTATAATATTCTGTCTTTTCTCTGTGATCAATTCTGTAAAACTAAGAGTCCAGGCAAACGGCCTTGTTTGGCTCTAGACACTAAGAGTGGGAAGGTCAGGTCTGACTAGGGTTTTCTAATGTGTTTCGGAATTCTGGCTGTTGCCCAACAGCTGACCCAGAACTGTTTTTCTTCGGAGAATATTAATTGAATTATAAAGAAGTAGCAGTTTTAGGGTTTATCAGCAATGTTAATCGGTGTGCTTAAATTTAGTGAAGTACGTTGAAAGAAAATAATAGTTCCTTGATCCAGGGTGCATATGAATTCAGCATGGCTCCCTCCCCTTTACCATTGATAAGCCTGCCACTGAGAAGACTTCATTCCTGGTCTCATCTGGTGTTCTAGAGAACTCAAAAGCCGCAGGGATCATAACAGCTGCAATAAATAAAGCATCTATTCGATACGTTTCCCTGCCAAATATTATTCAGCATTCTTTGGGCTTTGGTTTGATCGAAAACAGCATGGTGAACTTACTACCTCTCCTTTACTGCAGTGAGCCCCAAGTAACTATGAAAGATTTAACAATTCAAACCTGCCTGTAAGCAAAATCAGTATTCCATCGATTTTAAAATTATAAAGACAATAATACAAAGAACAAAAAAAAAAAAAATGAAGTCTGTTTCCACTATTGAAGAAGTGCTAGGATTAGTATTAGGCTTTTTTATTCTACTCAGGGAAGGTAATAGAAAAAAGTTTAGAGTATGTGTCCAGAATGTATGGGTTGGAAGGGGATCTTTAAAAAATAAGTGTTACATATGTGGCAGGATGAGGAAGAATATTATTGAGGAATTTCACAGAATTTTTTATGTAAAGTCTCATCATACAGTATTATGATCTCAGGGATATTTCGTGATATTTACTGAGCCTTCTGAGAGTTCATTTATTCAGGTCATATTTTAAGGAGGGGCTTATAAGATTCAGACGTAAAATATAATTCTGTAATATTCCCAGCTGATCCCATTAAATCCATCTCCAGAAGGAGCGGGATAATGATGTGGACAATTCCCATTCTTTGTGTTGCTACACCTCACTTGAAATGCATTCCTTCTGGATTAAAACTGCGTTTCCTCTTTGTTCCTCTCTCCAGGCTGAGGTTCAGCTATGCTACCTGGAAGCACAAAGAGATGCTGTTGAGCAGATGTCCCTCAAGCTGTACAGTGAGCAGTACACCAGCAGCAGCAAGAGAAAAGAAGAGTTTGCTGATATGTCAAAAGTTCATTCTGTGGGAAGTAATGGGTAGGGAACTATTCTTTTTGTTGTTTTATTCGCACTAATCTCTACTTTTTACATGATTTTCCACTGGTAGGTAGGTGTTAGGCAGACATTTCCTCCCTAGTCAGTAGTCAAGAAGAAGCTCAATGGAATAGGCATTTGTGTTCTTTTTCATTTGTGCCAGAACTGAAGACTGGATTTTTTTCAGCCTTTGTCATCTAACCCAGAACTTTTTAACTTATTGTTATTATTTTTTAAAGAACAGCCTTATGAACCTACAAAGTGATTTTGTGGTTACATTGTCCCTATAGTATTGGTTTTTCTTCTTTATAATTTTTTTTCAGTGTATGTTCCTTTTTTAAACTTCACAGTTCATTTAAAAGTCTATTTAAGAAACTTTTTAACACCAGAACCTCATTGGAAACTTGGTAGAACAATATTCTCCTGAATAACTTAGATATTTAATAATTGTTTAGAGAGTGTGATCTAGCCTCTTAGCTTCACATAAAGTCAGCTGGAATAATAGATGAGCACTTGTGTTGTTTATAGTATGTGAAATGAGCCAACACCTTCTGTGATCCATCAACGATTTCATTCAGACTGAGATATATGGCTGTATTTATATTATACTAACTAATCATACTATTAAATGGATTCAGATATCTCCAAATGAATTTAAAATTATGCAAACATTGCCTATATATATACATACATGGAGTCCTGGTGGCGAAATGGTTAAGCACTCAGGCTGCTAAACAGAAGGTCGGCAATTTGAATCCACCAGCCGCTCCTTGGAAATCCTGTGAGGTAGTTCTGCCCTGTCCTATGGGGTTGCTATGAGTTGGAATCAACTCGATGGCAATGAGTTTTTTTCGTTATATATATAATCAGCAGCCTGAGCACTTAACCACTTCGCCACTAGGGCTCCATGTGTATATATGTATATTGTATACGTATATTATATATATATATATAATTTTAATTATTTATGGCTCAATTCTGATATTTAATAGGTCATTATTAAAGAGTGAAAAAATAGTGATAAAATTTAATTATTCAACACTTTTCAATAACCTGATTTCTAATTACAATAACAAAAATGGAAACAATAACCTATACTTGAGCCAGACAACAAGGGGGAGAAATGATTCTCCCAAGTTTCACTACATGTTAATAGTATCATGTAACCCTATGGGGTGTAACTTCATCTAGACAGTCCCTGAAAAGGCAGAAGGAAAGAAGCTTTGCCATGCATTTGTTTGCATTTGTCTTTGAAGTGCTTATAGTTCTGACTGGACCTACAGTTCTCATACAAAGTTTTGGAATACATTAAGTACACATTAAAAATTCAGTTGTGTTAAAAAAGAACTCAGGGTCTAAGAATACAGACAAAGGGTCAGAGTCATAATTCTGTTTGGGCGATGGGAAACAATTTTCAAATTTTAAAATTGGCCTATCTATAGTATTTGTTGCTCTATCAGGATATTTTTATACAGAGACATGTTATGTATATACATAAACTCGTTCAGTTTAGCAGACATTATTCACAAGAGGAAGAGTATAGCAGCAAGTAACAAAGAGAAGGTTCAATCTTGGAGCGTGTACAATGAGCTGTTTTGAGGCCTTAACGTGCTTTAATTTCTCTAAATGCCTAAATAGTCTCTGTTGTACATGCAAGCACAAACTTTAGGTCACATTTTCATGTTTTCTAAAAGCCCTGGGGACTGAGCAGGCACCACATGCTTCTGACCCCAGATTCCAAGCACCCAACCTGAGTACTTACTCTGGGCTCCACAAATCACAAATCTGCTCTGGGAATTGCTTAGTTAACAACTTGCATTGTTCTGTGAAGTGGGAGTAGGTGAACTTGCCTGATATCCCTTGTTTATGCTCCTTTTCGTGCTGAAGGCTGTGCATTGTGCAGAAATTTAAGAGTACGCTGAAGAAAAGCCAGCTATTTAATACTAAGGACAAAAACTATATACTCCTTTCTGTTTTCTGTTTACATACAGAAAAGCATTGCTTCAGAAATACATGTGGGTGAGGTTATCTAGGGTGTCCTGCCCCCAAGACTCCTGCTCCCAAATCCTTCATTTTGAAAGCTTAAGAACACAGCCTTGTAAAATTATCTGCTCCAATGATACATAAACTTCATTAACTGTTCCTTTTGTTACATAGAATTAGCATTGTTTCTGATAAGCGACTGTGGGAATAGTGTGGGCTTCCTAGGGTCTTCATTCCATAGATATCCAGTATTTTAAAGAGAAAATTAAGTTGGTGATACAATTCGTATGTTTTTATCTCCTGCCCGTGCCTATCTGCATGCTAAGAAGATTATATGTACTAATGGAGTACTTAGTTGAAAAATGTATAATAAGACTACTCCAGGGAAGACTCAGCTGCTATATAGAATGGTGATCTTAAATTTCTAAGAACTTCACACATCAAGATATTGTTTACAAATGAATATATAACCTCTTTGGCTTGATGAAAAGTGTGTATAAACGTGGTATAACACAGCATACGTACAACTATGAACTGTGTCTTTAGCAGTCATGAAAACGTGATAGAAGGAAGGCATTAGTTCAGCTGGGGAGGACATGGCTCCTGGAGTGTCCCACAACTTGCAAGTCACTGGTGATTCTCAACTGGGGCAGAAGTCGATGCTTTTTTTTTAATTGTACTTTAGGTGAAGGTTTACAGAATATTTTCGCATTAAACAGTCAGTACACATACTGTTTTATGACATTGGTTAACAACCCCACGACATGTCAACACACTCCGTTCTCGGCCTTGGGGGACCTTTTTCTTTTTGGTGAAAATATACATAGCCAAAGACACACCATTTCAAAAATTTCTACATGTACAATTCAGTTACGTCAATTACGTTCTTCCAGTTGTGTTGCTATTCTCACTTTTGATGAAGGTTTACAGAACAAAATAGTTTCTCATTGAACAGTTAGTACACATATTGCCCTATGACAATGGTTAAGAACCCCACTACATGTCAACACTGTCCTTACTCAATCTTTGGTTCACTATCACCAGCTTTCCTGTCCCCTTCTGCCTTCTAGTCCTTGTCCCAGGACTGCTGTGCCTCATTAGTCCCGTTTTGTTTTTTGGGGCTGTCCACTCCCCGGCTGAACAGTGAACCTCGTGAGCGAGTTCACCACTGAGCTAAAGGGGTGTCTGGGGGCCGTACTCTCGGGATTTCTCCGGTCTCTGTCAGGCCAGTAAATCTGGTCTTTTTTTGTGTGTTAGAGTTTTGTTCTACATCCTTCTCGAGCTCTGTCCAGAACACTCTGTTGTGATCCCAGTCAGAGTAGTCAGTGGTGGTAGCTGCGCACCATCTAGCTGTACTGGACTCAGTCTGGTGGATGCCTTGGTAGCCGTGGTCCATTAGTCCTTTAGACTAATCTTTTCCTTGTATCCTGTTCTCTTCATTCTCCCTTGCTCCTGAAGGGGTGAGACCAGTGCAGTATCTTAGATGGCTGCTCACAGGCTTT